GGGGGGGGGGGCTCTTGTTTCTGAGCTTCAGGGATCAGGATAAAGTATGGGAAAGAAAAAGGTTGTATTGTTCTGGACGATTGAAGCATCTGTTGTAAAAATCAGTGCCACGGTACAGCTTAATATCATCAGCACTGAGAAGACCAGAGTGACGATATGTTGCTCCTTAAACTCTTTTAAAAATCACCTATTTTAGTGATTTATTTGTGGATTTGTGAAACCCTCAAAGTCATAAGACTTATTTTATTTTTTTATATATTATTTATATGTTAATAATTCATTACATTCTTTTATTAGAGCAATTTTTCAAGGCACTCAAAGCGCTTTACAACTACCGGCACACATTACACGTATTAGACATATATATCTTTCTTTCCACGTTTAATTTCTTTCTTTGAAATACTATTTTACTCTTAGCCAAATAGGTGATGTAAACCCAATGTTTGTCAAGTCTAAAAGAGATTATAATGTTGAAATACTTTATTTTGTATCTATCACAGTTCTAAAGCTTTTGAGAGTAGATTAATTCATCAAAGAAATGAGAGAAAGAGATGACTTTTGATGTGTTATTGTAACGTGCTTGACTTAATGTATATAATGTTAGATTTGTATGACTAATGAAGAGATTGAAGTTTTTTTGTTGTTTTGGTTCTTTAATGCCGAAAAAATTGTATGTCGTTGAAATGTTAAAAAAATTAAGTAACTGTAATTTGAGCAGTAAATATGACAATGTCTTGCGTTGTAAAAAAGACTTGGTTTTATTGTCTTCAAATTGTCACAAAAGAAAGTCAAACATGAATGTGTACGGTTCTTTTTTTATGCAAATGATCACCATAAACAGCAGTGAATAAATACAAACAATTAAACACAGGTAACCAGATCTAAAATGTGAGTGACGAACAGTTTAAGGAGTCAGGAAAGTGAAAGTGGAGAAGGTGAGTCTGGGGTCCTAGTTGCTGATCTTCGCCTTGAGACCCTCGAGTTCAGGACGGCCCTTGAAGCGAGTTTTGTAATCTACCTCTGTGTGCTGAGAGGAAACAGGAAGAGAAATCATTAGTGTGAGATAACTTCATTACAAAAAGCAAAACATTCCTAGAAATGTTCTCCTTATTTATGTTACTAGAATGGACCCTTACTTTGTTAATAATTGTTTTGTTTTGTTTTTTGTAAGATGCCAACTGTTTGTTTTATTGGATCTATACTGTATTTGCACGATTCAATGTTATTGACTCAAATAAGGTTTGTAAATGACTCTTGATTAATAAAGTTTTAAAACATAAATAAGATTGTTTCTGACTCTAATGAAGACTTGTGTTAGTTAGGGGTATGCATAATGATTAGGTGTTTCATCTGGGTTCATATTTTTTAAATTTGGGTTTGGACACTTATCTCCGGAAATTTAAAATGTTTTACTAACAGACCTACAATGTCAATTTGCCTACAGTGAAATTAGGAAAATCAAGACTTTTCTAGAGTTATTTAAAATAAGATTAGATGTACTTTATTAATCCCAATTTGGGAATTTTCTTTGACTAAAATGTGTGTAATTGTCCGCATTGTTCCCAGCATAGCTTCAGTATAATGTGAATAACTCACCTCCTGCACCGACAGCTGCACTCCCTCTGGTTGATTCTTCAAAAGAACCTCCAGGAAAATAGGACACATGGTGGCGTTCAGACTTCTTAACTAGAAAGACAAACACAGTTCAAATGTCAGATTTTAAATACCGGAACAAGGCATGCATTACTTGAGTGAAAGGGAAACCTGAAGAGTTGTACCTGCACGACTCGGTTGTGAGTCTTCAGGAAGGAGTCCACAGACATCTTGGTGCCTTGCTCCTGCATCAGCCAGACCTCGGTGGTCTTGGTTTGCAAAGCATAGCTGCGTGAGAAAAACAATTACAAAATATATATAATTAAGGCATCTTTCTATTGTAAACATCCTTTTGTGCTTTTCAATTGAAGATTCAACTTTAATGACTGGATTACAGTTGGGAAAATGTGGCTTGTCACTTTTTGTAAGGGATAGACTACTTTGCTATTTTACAAAAAACGCATCTTTAGATTATAAATATACAGAACCAAACTTATAAGTATTTTTACGTGCTTTCAAATGAACTAACCCAATAAAATATATCTTAGAAGCCTCCAGTTTATCCTGATGAAGGCTTTTATTGCTCCAAGTGGTTCATTCAAATGATTTATATATATATATATATGAACAACAATAATACAAATCACACTAAATATGATTTCCCTAAACTATAGAAAACAAAAAGCCCAGTGTCAATGAGAAATGGTAAAATACCAGATTTAACTGCATCAATTATAAGCAACATCCATGCTAGACTCATATTTGATCATCCTAAACGTACACAGTACACACACACACACACGGTTACATCTGAATGTCCTCACCAGTCCAACACTTTGATGCCCAGCCGGTTGCAGAGGTTGTGGATGTGCTGGGAGAAATGCTCCACCACCGTCATGTCGTAACCCGACACGTTGACGTTCAGAGTGGCGTACGTCGTCTCCGTCTCCACGACGATCTCCTTCATCTG